CCAGACTGAAACTCTTCAAAAAGTTCATTAAGGTGGAAGTGATCACACACACCATCCATCACCATCCTGCCCTCCCTGCTCACAGACTAACTGGATAGCCTGGGAATGGCCTGGATCTCCAGCAGCCTCACAGACAGCCCACAGTATGTCCGGCTGAAAGAATCCATCTCTTCAAACTGTGGTCAGCAGCAGTGGAGCCCCCCAGGGCCGAGTGCTGGCCCCTGTCCTCTTCACCTTATACACCTCAGACTTCTGGTACAATCCGGAGTTGTGTCACATCCAGAAGGACTCAGATGACACAGCCATGGTGGGCGGTATCAGGGACAACAGAGAGGAGTCTGCTGTTGCCGTGCCAACCACCTGGAGCTCAACATCTCCAAGATGAAAGAGCTGCTCATAGACTCTGGGAGGAAGGGACCAAAGACTGAGCTACTCCTGGAGGGGGCTCTGTGCTCTATAGAAGCTACTGGAACCAGAATCTCCCTGAAGGAGTAAACCCAGGGGATTAATAAAGCTGAGTCTAAGTCTAAGCTGTGAGCAGGTTGGCAGCCTTGCAGTCGGCCTCAGAAACGCGTGAATCAAGTCAGACATGGACTCGGTGTTAATGGCCGCTAGATGGAGGTTATGATGAGAAAAGACCAGCTTCTCTTCATCTTCATCCATCAGGTGTTGATGGTCCTGGTCGACCTTCTCCATCATCAAACTTCCCAAACATTCGGTGAAAACTGAATAAGTCCAAATGTAGTAGTTTGCTGTTAGCCATGGCATCACTAGCAGTGATGTCATGAGTTTCAAAATGGAGGCTGACAGCGAGCTTCACAGTTTCACTTCCTTCAAATCATTGATGAAACATTTTGCTTTGATTCTGAATTACAGTAAATAAGATAATAACAAATTTAATTTTTTCTCACACAGTAGAGATGATTAAGTCAACATTTCCTTAGAAAAACAGCCTGAGCTTCACAGCGACACTCTCTCTCTCTCTGTTGCTCTATGTGTCTCTATCAAAGTTCTCTCTCTCACCTTATTGGACACAAACTAAGTTGAACTTCTTAAAGTTTTTAATTTTAGTGCAAACTGTGAATCTGGTTCAGACTGAGAAGCAGGACCATATGATCTTCTTCCCGTTGCACCTGAAGATCCTCTGAATGATGATCTGTCCAAATTTAATACAATTTAATTTTCTAATCAGATTTCTGAGCATGTGATGATGATGGTATTATTTTAACTGCTGGTATTGAATGAATAAACATTCTGCCTTTATTACATCTACAATAAACATTGCTTTGTTTTTAGAAGTATTTTTTGTGATGGGGGGGGGGTTGAAGCCCGGCTGGACCACAGAACGTTTGGGAGCTGCTGGATGAAAGGGTGTAATGATGTCACAAAGGGTGTAATGATGTCACAAAGGGTGTAATGATGTCACAAAGATTATCTGATGTTTGTCTCAGGATCTGGCCCTGAAGGAGGAAAAACTTTCATTGAAGGCATGAAAAAGATGTCAGGCTTTCCAGAGGGAAGATATAGAGCAGATAGAACCTGATGTAGAGCAGATAGAACCTGATGTAGAGCAGATAGAACCTGATGTAGAGCAGATAGAACCTGATATAGTGCAGATAGAACCTGATGTAGAGCAGATAGAACCTGATATAG